ATGTGTATAATGTGTCTATTTATTATGTATATATAAATACAAACACGTGCATGTATATATTTAAGAAAAATATTTTATGTTCAATATATTTATATATAATAAAAAAATAAGAATATAAATATATACATGTAAATGCATGTAAATATTTTCTAAATATTTACTGTGTGTGTATTTATATATACATAATAAATATACACAATACACATATATATTATGTAAACAAAAACTAATCGCGATTAATCGCATTCAAAATAAAAGTTTTTGTTTACATAATATATGTGTGTGTACTCTGTATATTTATCAAATATAATTACACACACACAGTATATATTTTGAAAATATTTACACGTATAAATTTTATATTCATATAATTTATATTATATATAAATATATTTAATATATAAACATAACATAGTTTTCTTAAATATATACATGCATGTGTGTCTATTTATATATACGTAATATACACAGTACGCACATATATATTATGTAAACAAAAACTTTTAGTTTGGATGCGATTAATCGCGATTAATCATTTGACAACACTAAAATAAATAGATTTTTTTATTATTATATGCATGTTATTGTTGTGGGACAGAAGTAAATGGCATGTGGATTTGCACCTCAACAAAATGTAACACTTCCTCTGATTTTGTATGAGTGTTGAGTGTGTTTTAGTCACTGTGGGCCTCAGAGCACAGTAGTACACAGCAGAGTCAGACACACGCAGATTCTTGATTGTCAGTGGAAATGTTCTCGATGTAGAGTCCAGTGTTGCAGAAAATCTCTTCTTGAAATCAGGCTCAGTAGTATATTGATTCTGGATGAATGTTGGTGATCTGTTTGGTAGCTGTTTGTACCAGAAGAGATATGGATTTGTAGTAGTATAATTACACATTAAAATAACTTGAGCTCCTTCACTTTCAGTCATTTCTCCTGAAGGCTGTTCAACCCTGTCTTGCCCCCAGCACACTGGAAAAATAGACCGAAATAAAGGAAGTCATTAACATGAATAATAATCATTTAGGAGCTTGAATGTAAGTAAAGCCTTTACTTTAAAAGTATACAGAAACAGAAAAAAAAATGTGCATACCATAATAATGTTCTATGAAACAAAGATAAATCAAAGCCCATCTAAACATAATTGTTACTGGAGGTAAAAGAACGGAAATGTACTCAACTCTGCTCTCAAAAACTGTGCTCATCTCACAGAGCTCTTCTTTAAAAGTTTGTATCATGTCACATGTTATACCTATAAATGAAGAGAGCGATGCTGACCCCTTGTGGACGAAGTTGGAAATTGATAAACATTATTTTGTAAACCTTGCACTATTTTTTTATAAAGGTAGGATTGGTATAAATAGTGTTTTTGAACAAATGATTGATCCCCACCATACTTATCCCTCTGTATGTTATAAAGCTATTTACTCACTGTATATACCCAGGACATTTGTTTAGAATAACTAAATGGAGTATCATCATTGCTTGTTTTTGCAGCATGGTTTGACAGGCAGTTGGAAAGTCAAAGAACTGCCATATAGTAGTGGCCAAAAGTGATGCCGGCCTAGGAAATTTGACATCTTCACCCTTAATTTAAAAAAATTAATAAATAAATAAAATGATTTTGTAAGCATATTTCATAGTTGCTTAGAATCAATTGTTTTATTTGTCATAATAATGCAATGAAACATGCCAACATGACAATGCGGTCATAATTTTTGGCCATGCTGTCATACAAAGAAATTATGAACACATGCAAAAACAAGACAGGACCAATGAAATATTAACAACTGATTATGTTGTAGTCAATGTCAGTGTTGCCAATTTAGTGACTTCCTCACCCCTTTTGAGATTTTTTCAAAAGCCTAGCAAAATCTATTTCTTGGACAAACCTTATCTAGATTCAAAGACTTTCCCACTGATCTATATTTATATTTATATATAGATCAGTGAACTCGCCATTATGACGTAATCTAGCAACATTTAGCAGCTGTTTTAGCTGCTTTCAATTGAAAGCAGTTGGCAGCACTGGTCAGTGTTTTTTTCCCTCATATTTTGATGGTTTAATTGAAATGTAGGGTCATAAAAAATAAAAATAAAAAAAAAACTCCACACATCACTTTTGACCACTGTTTTGTTTGGTGAGGTTAGTGCCACAATAGTTAAGACCCTGCTTACTGTGTCCTCACCAGTGCATTGCTGAATTTTTCCAGTTTAGATGCAAACATGAATACACTGAACAACATTTGAGTTATCATTTTTAATGTGTTGACTATAACAGTAGAAAAAGATAAATCATTCAGTCAGTCGTGTCAGAAAGAAATGGGATGGTTCATAGCAGGGGAGGAGAGTTTAAACATAAAAAAGGAAATGAAAATATGATTTTAGGTTGTGTGTCTACACTTCCCTCTTCAGGATATTATTGTAAAAATATTTTTTTTAATGTAGTCTTTTTTCCCATTCATTATTCCTGTAGCAAACAGTAACACTCACTATGAGATTTTACACTGTGTTTCCAATGTCTTCATTTAAGTTATTGATACTTTTACACTTTTGACAATTCAACATGTATCATTATATCTAACACATTTACATTCTGTACATATGTATGTGTGCAAAGAGACAGGAATATGGTTAAATCTTCCATACCCTTAATGTAGGGAATAGAAAATTTAGTTTTACACA